GCCAGAGATGCTGAGGGTGAGAGGCTTCACCAGAGACAGAGCGGGCAGGCCAGGAGAGGTCTGCTGCGCCATGTGGTCACCTCCGGGGCAGGCGGGGATCGAACTCATGTGGAAGTGGCTTAGGCTTCTTTGTGCTGTGCTTTAACCCGCTGCGCCACCAGGGAGGGCCAATTTCCAGAGTAATTTTTATTGTTAATTTCTATCTTAGGCATAAAAGAAAGGTTAGAAGTTAGATCTTAAGAGATTTATGTAATATTATCTGGAAATGTATTAGTCAAGTAGAAAATCACTTTTGCTCATAAGTGAAAAATCTCATTAAATTTTAACATTTTATATTTATTATGTGGTGTTGCATCTTTTAATATTTTCTTAGCTTGTAATAACTGTGTGCATGCATATATTTATTTCTTAAAATTAACTACTACATATTATTGAGCTCATTTTATTATATATTAATGTTGATTTTTTAAAAGGGATTTGGCTCCATAAAGACTATCATAAAAATTTAATAGTGTTAAACTAGTGAGTATAGAATTTATCTTCCCATTACCATCTTATGTACTTTCTTCCATTTTGTCCAAATTAAAAGAGAATTTGGAAATTGATAATTGTGGGGAAAATATTATTAAACACCCAATAAAATCAGTTATTACTTTGAAAATAGAACTCTCTACTGAAAGGAACCAGGTCATTTATGAAAATGACCAATTCCCACAAGAATTGGGGAATCTAGAGGGTGAGTAAAACAATGACATAAAACAAAAGTAATAAGAGACCTAAAATTTAGCTATTCATACTTTTAAAAATATTTATTTATTTATACATACAAGAACTGGGGTACAGGTCAGAGGTGTGGGGGTAGAAAGGTTTCACCAGAGACAGAGTGGGAAGCAGAACAGGCAGATCAACGAAGCACACTGCTGAGGGGAGCAGCGGGGAGACAGGAGAGGTCTGCCGCGCCATGTGGGTCACTCCCTTGCTGGGGATAGATCAAGTTCTGCGGATAGCTTCATAGTGCTGTGCTTTAACCTCTTGCACCAACAGAGAGGCTGGATAGTAATATTTTTATAACATGCATGAGTTGGAGACATCTATTCATACTTTTGCCCAGTGACCAACATTAATATCCCTATTATTGCAGCAAAATATTATCTGCCTATCAGCATATGAATTTTTTTAACCCATTGATAACCTGATCTAACATATGGATAGTTTAGGAAAATGACAACAGTGGACATTACACAACCAACTGTGTATTGATTTGTAACATCAATGTTAAGGAAAAGAATGGTTTATTACGTGACTCATGGTAGAGGAGACAAATACATGACATGGAACAGAGAAGTGGAAAGTGTACTTAAGTAGAGGATCGTGTTAGTATTTGAGTTTCTGATTGGATAATATTTCAAAGAGTAGCAAATACCCTTGTACTTGAAAGATATAAAATTTTAGGGATGAACTGACATGATGTCTGCACTTCATTCTCGGTGGTCCAAAACAATCTATGTATATTCAAAGAAATAAAAGTGTGACAAAGGTGAACAAAGAAGTTTGATGAGATGCCTATAAAGTATAGTAATGATTAAATTTCTGATATTAATCAGAAAGTTTAATTACTTCATCATAAAAGTTTAAAGCAAGCAAAGAAACACTGGCAAAGTTGCAGTCAGGTAGGAGAAAAAATATGCTTTCTCTGAGCTCGTTTTAAGACAAATAACCAGTTTTCATTGCCCTCCAGATCTGGCCTTCCTATCACATTTCATTCTCAGACACACTGTCATTCAGGATGGGGCACAACCAGTCCTGGGCCCCAGAGTTCATCCTGGTGGGGTTCCCCCTCGGCGCCGACATGGAAGTGCTCCTCTGCGCTGTCTTCTCCCTGCTGTATGTCTCCAACCTGCTGGCCAACGGCATGATCTTGGGGCTCATCTGGCTGGACGTCAGGCTGCACACCCCCATGTACTTCTTCCTTTCTCACCTGGCCGTCATTGACATGTCCTACGCCTCTAGCAGTTTACCCAAATTGCTGGAAAACCTGGTGAGACACCAAAAAACCATCTCCTTTGTCACATGCGCAATGCAGATGTATTTGTATGTGGCTTTTGCTTCCACCGAGTGCTTGATTTTGGTGGTGATGTCCTATGACAGGTACGTGGCCATCTGCCAGCCTCTCCACTATACGGTCATCATGAGTTGGAGACTGTGCACGGTGCTGGCCATCACTTCCTGGCCATGTGGGTTTTCTGTGGCCCTCATACATCTAATTCTCTTTCTGAGATTGCCTTTTTGTGGGTCTCAGGAGGTGAACCACTTCTTTTGTGAACTCATAGCTCTCCTCAAAGTGGCCTGTGGGGACACTTGGATCAACAAAGTTTGTATCCTTTCTTCTGGTGCGTTTGTCTTAGTGGGGCCCCTGTCTTTGATGCTGTTCTCTTACGTGCGCATCCTGTTGGCCATCCTGAGGATCAAGTCAAAGGAGGGCCGCAGCAAGGCCTTCTCCACCTGCTCCTCCCACCTCTGTGTGGTTGGGTTGTACTTTGGCATCGCCATGGTGATGTACTTGGTGCCAGACAATGGCCACTGGGATGAGCAGAAGAAAGTCCTTTCCCTGTTTTACACCCTCTTCAACCCACTGCTGAACCCCCTCGTCTACAGTCTGAGGAATGCCCAAGTGAAGGCTGCCTTCAGCAGAGCAGTGCAGAAGCAAAGGAACTACAAATAAAGGAGGGTAGAATTTTTCCCTCCCTGGATTTTTACGCAAGAAAATCTTGGGAGTTTGCAAGAGCAATGAAACTCCCATAAATCTCCTCATGAAGTCTGTGGAGATTGAGAATTACCCAAGAACATCATCAACAAAATGGCAAATTAGGAATTCTTGGAGCTGAAATATCTTTATAACAGATTGTCCTGTAAGAATACCATAAATTGGGTAAGAATTGCAGCACCCAGATAAACACAAAGACACAAAGAGACACAGTAAGCAGATAGACAAGCTCCCGGCATTTCCCTGTGTTCTTACCAAACCTTTCCTGCCCAAATGCACCATGAGGAAAAAGTCCCCCAGCTCCTCCATAAGTGGGAAAACGGAGAGTAGAGACCTGTGTATGTTCTGGCTCTTGTGGGTGTGTCTATCCTCTGTGTTCCCCCTCTCAATATTCTGATATGAGACAGTGTCACCAAGTCACCTAGTTCAGACACATGAGCACTTCCCGCTTTATGAACATAGAGAGAGTAGTGCTGAGTCAAGGGCAGTCAGGGTTGACCAGGCACCTTCAGGGCCAATTCCGGAGAGTTCAGGTAGGCTTCTGAGGTAAGGGCAGGGAATTTGAGTCTAATTGGGACAGTAAATTTTAGGAGACGTTGGATAGGGAAGTCAAAAGAGAAACTCTGAGAGCTAAGAAAATGGGCACATCTCTCTGGACACCAGGAGAAAGACATAAGGTAATGAGATTTCAGAATAGAGGGAAAAAAGATGTAAATACCCCTCGACATGGGCCCACCATGCTTCCTGGCCCCGCCCAAGTTCAGTGTACCTGGGAGTTCTTAACTTTCTTCCTTTAAATAAACTTTTCTTAAACGAAGCTTGTTTCTCTCTGCTTATTTATCTAAAATGCCTGCGAGTTCCTTCCTATGGCTTCACGGGAAAAGACCCTGTGGTGGTTCAAGGGCTAAGTGAACAGCACGCAGGAACGTCAGTGTCTCATTAAGAGCAACTGTTGCTACAGACCAGGGGCATATGAGCCTCACTAACCAGGACAAGGAGACTGAGCTCCAAGAATGCAGAATGCAGTGGTAGAAAGTCCCAAAACTAATAGGAATGCTTGCTGAATTCTTTCGCTTTTTCAAATATCTGGTCTAGACTGGAGAGGCGGCTGTTTTCCTAACAGACAAAATCTTGACTCAAAATCATCAGACACATAATTATGAAAGATGGCCACTCCACGGAATAAAACAAATGCCTAGAAACAACCTTAAAGATTAGAGTGATGAAATACCTGACAAAGAATACGAAATAATCTCTCTTTTTTAAAGATTTGTTTTATTTACTTATGCATACAAGAACGGGGGTACAGGCCAGAGGTGGGGGGTTGAGAGAACTCACCAGAGACAGAGCGGGGAGCAGAGCAGGCAGATGGATGAAGTACACTGCTGAGGGGAGCAGCGGGGAGACAGGAGAGTTCTGCTGTGCCGTGTGGGTCAGCTCCCTATCCAGGGATTGAACTCGTGCTGCAGTGGCTATGGACAGCTTCATAGTGCTAATACGTAACCCCTTTTGATACTAGGGAGACCCCAGAAATAATCACCTTAATGAGTCCAACATGAGATAAGAGAATGGAAAAAAAAAAAAACTTAAGGAAAATGGTTTTGTGCAAAGGAAAATATCACAAGAATGCTTTTAAAAAGTTTTGAAAACAATCTAACAAATGACTTGTTACTGAAGACATTGCTTTGGGCCATCTCGACCCTGGAATGCCACCCTACGGACTGAATCATTCTAGTCTTTGGTTTAGAAAGAGAAGTGTGAAGCTTTTCCTCTCATTTCACTGACCCAATATCAATTTTACTGCATCTCTGGGATCAGGAAGGGCTGGGGGAAGGTTACAAAATGGGGGGGGGGAGGGGAAGGGCTGGCCAGTGAAGCATCAGAACTCATGCAACATTTATCAGGTACATTTATTGAGTTAGGTCTAGTTGTTGAGGGTCAGGAATGCTCACAATTTTCCATATAAAGTAATGGTAACTGTGTTTTCAAATCCTAAAGGAAAATTACCAAATCATACTAAATAGAAATGCTCTTTAAAAAAAAAAAAAGATTTTATTTTTTATTTGTGCATACAGAACTGAGGCACAGGCCAGAAGTGCAGGGGTGGTGAGAGGATTCACCAGAGACAGAGTGGGGAGCAGAACAGGCAGATCCACGAAGTACACTGCTGAGGGGAGCAGCGGGCGGGTCAGGAGAGGTCTGCCGCGCCATGTGGGTCACGTCTGGGGTGGGGATCGAACTCATGCTGAAGTGGCTTTAGCTTCTTAGTGCTGTGCTTTAACCCGCTGCGCCACCAGGGAGGGCCCAAAATGCTCTGTTTTTAAATATTGGGAAACTTGCAGTCAAGTTTATGGGGCTGAAGAGTACGTGGGTGACAGGAGAGGTGAGGGGAGCTGGGGATTTGGTGATGAAAGGGCACAAAGTTTCACATATTACTGATTAAGTTTTGGTCACCTAATGCACAACAGGTGACAATGTTGAATTTTAATGTATTAATATCTATAATATATGATTGTTAAACATCATCAACACACCAGCATCAACTCAAATGAAAGTACATTTTAAAAAGTGATATAAAAAGTCTAAAAAGTTTTATACACTAGGCCCTCCCTGGTGGCACAGCGGGTTAAAGCACTGCACTGAGAAGCTAAAGTCACTTCCGCATGAGTTCGATTCCCGCCTGCCCCGGAGGTGACCACATGGCATGGCAAACCTCTCCTGACCCGCCCGCCGCTCCCCTCAGCAGTGTGCTTCATCAGTCTGCCTGTTCTGCTCCCCACTCTGTCTCTGGTGAAGCCTCTCGCCGCCCCTGTGCCTCTGGCCTGTACCCCAGTTCTGTGTGCATAAATAAATAAATCTTAAAAAAAAAAGTTTTATGCACTTAAAACTTGTGAGAGTAGTTAGTGAGCATTACTAGGCACACACACATGCACACACACAATATTTATGGGAAATGGTGGGCCAGTTAGTGTCCTTGACTGGAAATTCATCATGTATATGTATATGAAATCATTGTGTTTCACATATAAGTACTTAAAATAGTTTTATGCACACATATATGTGTGTGTGTGTATAAAATGCTTAAATAAGCCTGAGAGGGAAAAGGAAATTAAAATTGAACTTTAAAATCTATTTTGATTTCATTCAAAAAGAAAAGTACCATTATCTGATAACATTTGTAAAAGATGTTTTAGATAATTATCCTGAAGCAAAAATTGAAATAGTAACATTGCATTGTAGTTTTGCAAAATGCTTGAATGTCTGTTTTTGAAAGTAAGTAGAATTTTTTATTTGTGTCTGCAGGCAACTGTTAAAATATAAAGTGTATATTGTATTTTCCCCCCAAGCCTGCTCCCTGTATATATTATCATTTGAAAAACACCAAACCGTAATGAGAGAATAAGGGTGAAAAACTAACAATATTTCAGTTATTTATAAATCTAATTTTGACTTGATAGAAATTTCAAGAAAGAAATTTCTACTTAGTTTACTTAATATTTCATGTCACTAAATCAACAATGATTTCATTAAGACATGTCATCTAACTGCAGTATTTGAATGTCATCTAGACATAATGAGGGCTAAGTGGTAGCTGTTATGGAGTATCACCTTTCCTTACTTGTATCAAGCAGACCCTACCTCAGAGATTATGCACCTATTTAGGGGAGTCTCTGCCTTCTCAGAATTGCACAAACAGGTTTCATGGGAACCTTCAGCAAACATCTACTAGCTACAGCTTCTCATTAAAATCTGAGGAGCCTCAAGTGTAGAATGAACTGATAAAAGTGAAGTAGCTGCAGTGGTTGGTCAGCTCGAATTTGTCATGTCTCTCTCCTGTTTGTGACCCTTACCCCTGAGACATTTGTGTGGATACAGAGTAATGCCAACTTGTGACCTACCTCTGGCCCAGAATATTCCTCCGGGAATATGGGCAAAAGCTTTTCTCTCCTCCAGAGAGAAGTTTCAGGGACCTTGCCTCGCACCTTACAGAGACTTAGATAAATACAACTAAAAATGTCTTATCCTCTGGGAATTGCATTTCTTAAAGGTCACTCCTAGAAATGTAATATAGAGCTATATAATGTGTTGCAAAACCACCAGCAATTGTAACAAATGCTCCACAGTCAGATTTCTCCATTCTCACGTGCTGCAGTACCTGAGAGTATGTCCCTCAAGTCTGAAGGGTCTTATCTCCCTCAAAGTAGACTCCTGAAGGGAAGCCAGTGCTGCTTATGTGAAGAGATTTGCTGGTGCGGAGGTGACTTTCAGCACAGGTAGCTGAGGGAGCACAGAACAGCAGCCGAGACCAGCATGGCTTTGTGGGGAATCAGGCACTCCTGGGTGGAATAGCGTGAGGTCCCCTGACTCGCGTGTTTGAAGATAAATGGGGGGACACCCAGCGCTTATCCCTGCTCCAGCCCCAGAACCCGCTAGCTATTGAGATGTGGCGGAGCTTCTGATGTCTGCAGTCTTTGCGTCATCACTCCCAGTGTGTTTGAAGGGGGGATTGTGCAGACCCCCAACTCCGTAGGGTGTGAGCAGGACTCTGGCAGAAGAGCAGCTTCACATGCAGGCATTTCCTCTGGATAAATCTCTGATATTGTCAAAAGAAAAGGAGGACCTGACATTGCCTAAAAGAGAGGGTAAGTAACCTGTGTTACTGGAGAAGAAAATTCTAGTACCAGGTACAATACAGTCTTTTCCCTGCTGAATAGTGAGAGGTAAGTTTGTCACATAATTGTTTCTTATTGAAACTTCTCAAGGCATCATCCAGTCTTCTGATCTAATATGTTGTGTTTGTTCCAATATATGTTCTACTAAAAAATAAAGCACGGCTGACTGTAGCTGGAGAAATCACATGCAGCTCCCTCTTCCTTTGTCACCCTGAGAAGGGGAGACTTGCACATGCTAATACTGAAACTTGTACTTTCTGAATATTATTTTATTGTTTCTAACTAGGAAATGAAAAGTTTATTGAGGCTGTCATGAAATAGTCTTCTCTCTTTCCATGCTGTATTATATAATAGACTTATATAATACACTACCTCTTTAACTTATTTTTTATTGTTTCAAGAAAATGATGGTCATGAAAATGAAGAATACCAAGTTTAGTATTCAGACACTAAAATAACAAACTTAAAAAATACGCATGACCATTTCACACACTATCATACATATGACGTAGTTAAAGCAAAACTTAATAACTAGCGATGCAATTATATAGCTCTTTCAGAGGCAAGTTGTTATGTATAAAAACAGGAGCTAGGGCTGTGTCTCAAATGTGTTCTCTCCAAAGGCCCTACAGGAATACACACCTCTGCAGTGGTGGCTTTTTTAGGCTGATACTTTGCAAGCTTCAATGTCCTTCAAGGCTCTAAGGACACTTTCTTTGCCATGACTAACTTCTCAGTAAGCTACTTCTCTGAAATTCTTGTAAGTTATCACTTCAAAGCAGGTGTGAGACATTACTTCATTTATGTGATACTGTTTTCACTACGGATGTAATGTGGCTTTATCTTCATGTTTATTCAAGTGTATCCTATAGAAAGAAACACTGATCTCAACTTGGATAGATCTTATATTTACAGGTATTAATAAGAAATCAACCAACATTGTCCAAGTTCCATTGTGAAATTTCTCTTATCTTCCTCAAAAGACAGAAGGCGATCATGGATTCATCTAGAGAGAGACAGTAGTAGAGCAGCCTGAACTCGGAAACAGGAATAGCATTTATAGTTTGGTTGATGTGACTTGGGCCATCTCTTTCAAGCTTATGATCCTTGAGGAATATTGGAAGATCTGTGTGGACAGTGTCGTTGTAATATCCATATATGACCTGACAGGTGTGTGTGAAATTGTTTGTTCCCACTAAACGTTAGCACGCAGGTTGGGAGCCCGCTCATCTAGAATCCCGTTCTGAGCTGCGCAGACATGGCTGTGACAGCATCTGGTCACAAGCTGCTGTGTCTGCTGAAAGGGGCCATGTCATTCAGACCAATGACAGCTGGCTCCAGGCCCACCTTGTTTCTGATTTTATTGTGAGGATTACACAGATCGTCATAGTGAGAATATGAACTTTTCTGTCATTGTGGTTTAAAATATGCATTTAATTGGGGCCTCAAAGCCATTTTTATACTCACCTACACCAATGCCTTACAGCAGAGAAGATCGTGTTGTTGGTAGGAAATGTATGCAGATGATGGAGTTGATTATGACATAGATGATGGTGATGGATTTGCAGGTGTGGACGTAACTCCACATTCCTTAAGGATGGAGAGCGTTTTAGATGTCAAACAACCAACAATTACTTATGCATTTTACAGCAACAACAAAAAGCATCAAATGTAAATTGCTCAGACCTAATCTTTTTTTTTTTTTTTTAAAGATTTATTTATTTTGTGCGTACAGAACTGTGGTACAGGCCAGAGGTTCAGGGGCGGTGAGAGGCTTCACCAAAGACAGAGTGGGGAGCAGAACAGGCAGATCCATGAAGCACACTGCTGAGGGGAGCAGCGGGCGGTCAGGAGAGGTCTGCCACGCCACGTGGTCACCTCCGGGGCAAGCGGGAATCGAACTCATGAGGAAGCGGCTTTTAGCTTCTCAGTGCTATGCTTTAACCCGCTGCGCCACCAGGGAGGGCCAGACCTAATCTTCTAATGGCTTCTAGACAGGAACAAACAGACGCTCACCTTCCTTCCACAGTCCAGGCTGTGGGCACACTATACCCCCCAGGGAGGAGCCCCAGGCTCCCTGCTCTCTGGCCCCCCTCAGGCTCACACAGTGAGACAGTGACTGCCCCAGTCACTGTCAGACAGTGTGAGCATACAGGTATTTTGAAAGATCCTTATGCATCTTCCGGCTCAGTAAATGCCTGCTGAGAATTCCTGTTCACCCAATCCCAACAGTGTCCATGGGACCTCGAGCAGAGAACCCCCCATCATTCACCAGGGGTGTGACCCAAGTGCCCAGAGGGTGCCTAGAACCTCAAACAGTGCTGACCTGAAGTGTGCAGGGTTCTCCTGCCCACACACCTGTGAGGAAGGTAAAATCAAAGATTAACAATAACAACACAAAGAACAGTTGCCGGATTATGCTCTAGTAAATGTTAGTGGGTTTTCTGTCTTTCTTCCACACACACACAGATCTTGTAGCAAACCATATTTTCAGACCAGAGTTGACCAAAATCATGGACAGTGACTCTGCAGATAAGCAGGGACAACTGCCCATAAACCCACAGTATGCTTATTGCTAATTTCTATTTTGAGAATGAAAGAAGGTCAAGGTGAATGATGTGGTACGATTAAAACCAGTAAATTTAAGAATTCCTCATTCCCATAATATTCTACTTTCCTAATTTGACAATCATAGAGAAAATATTAGTTATTAAACATCCAATAAATTCAGATATTGCTTTGAAAATATGATTGTTTATTACAAATACCCTGACTCTACAACCTGATCTATGATATGGGGAATCAGTGAAAAAGCAAATATAATGAACACTGCAGGCATCAAGTGGTCTATCCTCACCATTATATCAACATGAAGGAGAAAAAAGGCTTAGTGACTATTTCAATCTAGGGAAAATAAATACACCCTGTTGGATTGCATCATGGAAAACAGAAATGATGTATTCATAATAGAGCATTACGTTAGTATTACAGTTTCTGGTATGTTAATGATCATAAAAGTAGAAAAAATATCCTTGTTGAAAAATGTATAAAAGATTTAGGACTAAGTTGACATTATGTCTTCACTTGACAGGTGCTTTAGAAATTTATTTTTGTATAAATAATTAAAGAAATAGAGATGATGAAATAGAGACAAAACATATTTCATGAACTATATAGTATTGTTTATGATTCTTGATAATATATGACATTTATTCAGTTTAATTCTTAATAAAAGTTAAAAGCAGAAAACTGGGGAAAATGCTCAAATGGAGATAAACAGGCAAGCTTTCTCTGAGCTCTTTGTTAACTCCAGGTTTCATTTCATTATCCTCCAGCTCTGGCTTTTCTACCACATTTCAGTCCTGGAGCAACTTTCTTTCAGGATGGGGCACAACCAGTCCTGGACCCCAGGGTTCATCCTGGTGGGGTTCCCGCTCCGTGCGGACATGGAAGTGCTTCTCTGCGCTGTCTTCTCCCTGCTGTATGTCTCCAACCTGCTGGCCAACGGCATGATCTTGGGGCTCATCTGGCTGGACGTCAGGCTGCACACCCCCATGTACTTCTTTCTTTCGCATCTGGCCATCATTGACATGTCCTATGCTTCCGTCACTTTGCCCAACTTGCTGGAAAACCTAGTGAGACACAAGAATGCAATCTCCTTTGTCACATGTACTGTGCAAATGTTTTTGTATTTGGCTTTTGCTGCAACGGAGTGCATGATTTTGGTGGCGATGTCCTATGACAGGTATGTGGCCATCTGCCATCCTCTCCACTACACGGTCATCATGAGCTGGAGACTGTGCACGGTGCTGGCCATCACTTCCTGGGCTTGTGGGTTTTTACTGGCCTTAGGAAATCTAATTCTTTTTCTGAGGGTTCCCTACTGTGGGTACCAGGAGGTGAACCAGTTCTTTTGTGAACTCATAGCAATCCTCAAAGTAGCCTGTGGGGACATTTGGATCAACAAAAGTTTCCTCTTTGTAGCTGCTGTGTTTATCTTGGTGGGGCCCCTGTCCTTGATGTTGGTCTCCTACACACGCATCCTCTTGGCCATCCTAAAGAACAAGTCAAAGGAGGGCCGCAGCAAGGCCTTCTCCACCTGCTCCTCCCACCTCTGTGTAGTTGGGTTCTACTTTGGCATCGCCATGATGGTTTATGTGATACCTGACAATGGCCACCAAGATGAGCAGAAGAAAGTCCTTTCCCTGTTTTACACCCTCTTCAACCCACTGCTGAACCCCCTCGTCTACAGTCTGAGGAATGCCCAGGTGCAGGCTGCCTTCAGCAGGGCAATGCAGAAGCAGATGCACTACAAATAAAGGGATTAGGATAGCCATTTGCTGGATGTTTCTCAAGGATGTGTAGCTAGAGCAATAAACTCAAGCACATTTTCCCTGTAAATGCCATTTATTGAAGGTTGTGAATTACCCAAAAATATTATTAGCAAAATCACAAAATAGAACCCCAAACTCTCATTGCTTCATGGATCCAAAACTTATATGCCAAGTGCCCCTGTGAGGACCAGACACATGTTAACACATTGCAGCATCCCTGGCTGGCGCTTAGTCACGTAGAGACACAGTAGGTGATACACAAACTCAAGGCAGCTTACCTGTGTCTCTCATAGCTTTTAAAACCTTTTTTTCCTACATACTTTTTCTTACCCCATTGTACAATAAGGTGAAAATTCTCCCAGCTCTTCCGAAAGTGGGACAAGGAAGCATGGATGACGTGTATGTTCTAGCTCTTGGGGTTATGTCCATCCTAGGGATTTTTCTGTCTTTTCTCTCATAAGGCTGATGTGAAAGGCAGTGTAGATATCAGGCCAGGGGACTGAGACTAAAGAAAAGTGAACATCCAGCTTGTTTAAAATGTGGAGAGAATTTAGTGTTTCATAAAATCACAACAGGCAGGGTATTGTTGACAGGCTCAGAGAAGAAGCCTTCAACCTTTATCTGAGGAATACATGCCCACATTCAGAGACACATCATCCTTAGAAATGGTCAAGAAGTCTACGGCCATACCACCCTGAGCGCGCCCGATCTCGTCTGATCTCGGAAGCTAAGCAGGGTCGGGCCTGGTTAGTACTTGGATGGGAGAAATGGTCAAGAAATCCCAAGACTAACAGGAATGTTTGTGGCATTCTTCCCCTTTTTGAAATCTGCTGGTATAGACCAGGAGAGGTGGCTGTTTTCCAAAATCCCAAATCTCAACTCAAGATCATGAGACATATGAAAAAATAAGAAAGATGGAACAACTAAAGGAAAAAAAAATGTCTAGAAGCAACCCTTAAAGTAGATCAGAGTGATGAGTTACCTGAAAAGAATGCAAAATAATGAACTGAATGAATTCAATAAGAGATGACAGAGAACTGAAAAAAATGAACATGGTTCGTGGACAAATGGAGAATATCACAAAGATAGAAAACAAACCTTTGAAATAACCAATTCTAGAACTGAAAATACAACTGAATGAAGATATCCACCATAGAGGTTCAAAAACAGAAACTATAGATAACCAGTAACAGAACAAAACAAAACACGGTCTAACAAAAATGGGATTCGGGAAACCAGTATTAAGAGCGAAGTTCACTTTTGAATGACTGTCGTGGAAGATAGCTAGAGGTTTGTATTTGCTTCTGCTTACAGTCTGTGCATGAATCAATCAGAAAACTCTACCCGACCCTGATGAAAGAGTAAGTGCGAATAAGTTTATTATAAAATAATATCTTATAAAATAACCTATGAGAACTTTTAGAAATTCTCAAGGGTCCCTTTCTCACAAAGAGAAAAATATTGGCTTAGGTATTAACATTTAGTCTGTATATCACTAAAGCAAAATTGGGTAGACAAAAAAAAAAATACAGTTCTTGTGAAGCACTTGGCGTCAAGTCTAAACACAATGAGGCTCAAGTTATAACCTTTCCTCACTTGCATGGAGCAGCACCTACTTCAGAGAATATACACCTGTTTGGGGGAGTCTCTTCTCAGATGTGCACAAACAGGTTTCATGGGAACCTTCAGCAAACATCTAACCTCATAGAAATTTTAGGCACCTAAAGTGTAGATTGAACTGATAAAACGGAAATAATTCCTAAGGTTTATAAACTCAAGTTTGAAATCTCTCTCTCATGTTTATGACTCTTACCCTTGAGGCATTTGAAAATCTGAGTGGATTGAAAGTAATGCCAGCTTGTGGCCTGTTGCTGGCCCAGAATATTCCTCCAGGAATATGGGCAAAAGCTTTCCTTTCCTCCAGAGAGAAGTTTCAGGGATTTTGACTCGCACCTTACAGAGAGTTAGAAAATACAACTAAATATGCTTCATTATCCTCCTGGGAATTGCAGTTCTTAAACGTCACTCCTAGAAATGTAATTTAGAGCTACATAATGTGTTGCAAAACCATCAGCAATGGTACCAAATGCCCCCACTCTGAGATTTCTCCTCTGCACGTGCTGCAGTACCTGAGAGTATGTCCCTCACTCTCACAATCTTATCTCCGTCAGAGTAGACTGCTGAGGAGAAGCCAGCGCTGCTTATGTGAAGAGATTCGCTGGAGCAGCGTTGACTTTCAGCACAGGTAGCTGAGGGAGCACGGGACAGCTGCAGAAAGCAGCATGGCTTTGTGGACAGGCAGGCACTCCTGGGTGAAATAGCGCGAGTCCCCTGACGCGTGTATGTGTTTTTCAAAATTTATATATTTACACACACAGAACTGGGGTAGAGGCCAGAGTCCAGGGTCGGAAAGAGGATTCACCCAAGAGAGAGTGGGGAGCAGAACAGGCACATTTACTGAAGTACACTGCTGAGGGGAGCAGCAGGTGAGACAGGAGAGGTCTGCTATGCCCTGTGAGCCACCTCTGGGTGGGAATCATACTTGCACTGAAGCCATTAGGGCCAGCATGCAGTGCTGAGTCCTAACCCATTGCAGCACCAGGGAGGGCCTGATTCCTATGTTTGAAGATAAATGGGGGGACACCCAGCTCCAGCCCCAGAACCCTCTAACTGTGAGATGTGGGGGAGCTTCTGGAGTGTTCAGAATCCTTGAGTTGTCGCTCCCCAGCGTGGCTGAAGGAGGGGGGTGACTGTGCAGACCCCCAACTCCATAGGGTGTGAGCAGGAATCTGGCATTTCGTCTGGATGAGCCTCCAACATGGTCAAGACAAAACAAGGACTTCTGTTGCCTAAAAGTGAGGGTAGAGTAACCTGTGTTACTGGAGAAGAAAATTCTAGACCAGTTACAGTCAACTTTTTTTCCTGCTGAATAGTGAGAGGGAAGTTCGGCACATAATTGTTTCTTATTGAAACTTTTGAAGGCCTGAACCAATCTTGATAATCATTAGACTCAGAAGTTATGTTAGTAACACATGTAAAGTATCTGTTCATTGAAAAATAAGGCAGGATGAGCACCAGCGTGGCTGACTGCAGCTGGAGAAATCACATGCAGCTCCTTCTTCCTCTATCACCCTGAGAAGAAGAGAATTGCACATGCTAACACTCGAACTTGTATTTTCTGAATATTATTTTACTGTCTATAATTAGAGCTGGAAATCTTATTGAGGCTGTCATGAAGTATTCCTCTATTTCCTGTCGGAGACTTTGTTCCCAATCACGGATTATTGGGGGACAGAACAGGCAGGGTCTCAAGGTGGGAATGGCGTCGGCGAGCGGAGATTTCTAGAAAAGGGGGAAAAGGGGAGCAGGCGTGAGGAAGACACGGGAATGGGAGTTGGGTGCAAGTCTTCCTGCTCTGCCTTTAGCAGAGGTTTATTTTACACACTTCAGGCAGGCAGAGGGATGACATTAGCATATGAAAGGGACTGAGATCACAATCACCTTTTTTGCTAAGAATAGACTCGAGTTCTTTTGACCTTTAGTTGAGATTATAACAATTTCCATGCTGTATTATTTAATAGACTTAACCTACCTCTTTAAATTATTGTTTTGCATCTCTGGCCTGTACTTCAGGGCTGTATGCATACAAAAGGACTTTTTATTATTTCTTTAAATATTTCAAGGAAATGAAAGTGAAGTGATGGCAATGGAAATAAAGATTATAGTTTACTATTCAGATACTTAAATGACTAATTTAAAAAACACACATGACCATACCCATTTTACACACTATCATACAGATTCTGTAGTTGTAACAAAACTTCATAACTACCACGTATTTATATAACTCTTTCCAGAGGCAGTCATCTGTACAGAAACAGGAACCCAGGACTGTCTCTCAAATGTGTTTGTTGGCTAAAATTACTGACAGTGCTGACCGAGGTGATCAGTGCTGTCCGTACACACCTGTGATGAGGACAAAGTCAGATGTTAACGATAACTAACAGCACAAAGAACAATTGTAGGATTATGCTCTAGGAAATGTTAGGGGGATGAATTTTCTCTCTTACACACACACGCACACAGAGTATCTTGTAACAAACCATATTTTCTAACTGGAGTTGACTGTGTCTGAATCCATGGACAGTGAATCTGCTCGTAAGGAGGGACAACCCCCATGATTCAGTATTTTTATTGCTAACTTCTATTTTAGACATAAGAGACGGTCAAGAAGAATGAAATGAAACGGCACATCATAGGTCTCAGTAAAGATGTAAAGGAGAGCCAGCAAGCTCTCTCCTGCTGGCCACGTGGTTTTAACATGGCCTTGGGAAACCTAATTCTTTTTCCAAGGGCTCCTTACTGTGGACTCCAAATGATGAACCAATTCTTTTGTGAACTCCTAGCTCTCCTTAAAGTCCGCTTCTCCTGTGGAGACTCTTGAATCAACAGAAGTTTCCTCTTTGTAGCTGCTGTATTTATCTTAGTGGGCCCCTGTCCTTGATGCTGGTCTCCTACACACGCATCCTCTTGGCCATCCTAAAGAACAAGTCAAAGGAGGGCCGCAGCAAGGCCTTCTCCACCTGCTCCTCCCACCTCTGTGTGGTTGGGTTCTACTTTGGCATCGCCATGATGGTTTATGTGATACCTGACAGTGGCCACCAGGATGAGCAGAAGAAAGCCCTTATCCTTTTGTATGTCCTCTTCAACCCACTGCTGAACCCCCTCATCTACAGCCTGGAGAATGCCCAGGTGCAGGCTGCCTTCAGCAGAGCAGTGCAGAAGCAGATGCACTACAGATAAAGGGAATGGGATCATCATTCTCTGGATTTTTCTCAAGGATGTGTTGCTAAATTAATACAACTCAAGCAAATTTTCTGCAATAATGTCATTTATTGAAGGATGTGAATTACCCAAGAATATCATTAGCAAAATGGCAAAATAGGAATTGCAAGCTCTTATTGCTTCATGGATCCAAAACTGAT